CCCCCCTTTTTCAGATGTGGGCACTGTACTTCCCACCCCCCAGCACTGTAAGTCCTCACTTCTTCAGGTTAGGTATGAAACTTCCCACCTCCAGCAGTAACGTCCTCACTCATCCCATCAATTACGTATATCACCCATCAATAATCTTTTAATACTATTACCTTACTTTATTGATCTTCGTAAGTGAAGATTTACTCTCGTTTTTTTCTGTCGTTTAAACAATAGTTTTTTCATTGTCCCAAACACATCCTCATAGATTTTATACCGTGAGGGCCGTTTATTTCCCTACATTATGGAAGTACTCAGCGCTGGTGCTGATCCTTGCGCCACCCCATTAGTCACCATTCACCAGTTATATCCTTGTCACCAGTTGAATTTCCTCGCTTTTGCAAAAGTAAATCTTCAATGATTTTATTTCTGTTTTGATTTGCTCCTTCTAAATTACTTTTTCATATGTAACTCTGTCAAAAAGCCATTTTTTTTGGACATATAGATGTGTGTTGAGCTCCCGTTAATTTCTGTAATGGTTTTGTGACTAACGTAGATTATCCTGACTATCGTCACTATCGCAGAGGTTTCATTTTGATAGATTTATAGTATTTTGTTGAGTGGGATTCTGTTTGGTGGCGGGACTCTTATTTCTGTGACGCTCATCCTCTTCACTCTAATAGCTTTTACTGCGTTATACAACACTTTCATCTGTCGTGTGTGTGTGTGTGTGTGTGTGTGTGTGTGTGTGTGTGTGTGTGTGTGGTTGTGTGTGTGTCTGTGTGGTGTGTGTGTGTGTGTGTGTGTGTGTGCTATTCCCACCCTGCAGCCAAGAGCAATCTTCGTAAACGCGCGCGCGCGCACACACACACACACACACACACACACACACACACACACACACACACACACACACACACACACACACACACACACACACACACACACACACACGACACTGAAGATAGGGGGGACACGATAACGACATATAAAATACTGAGAGGAATTGTCAAGGTGGATAGACAGTGTTTCAGAGATGGGACACAGCAACAAGGGGTCATAACTGTAAGTTGAAGACTCTGATGAGCCACAGGGATATTAGGAAGTATTTCTTCAGTCATAGAGTTGTCAGGAAGTGGAACACTGGAGAGTGATGTAGTGAGTCATGATCCATACATAGAGATACGATAAAGCTCATGGAGCAGGGAGAGAGTGGACCTAGTAGCGACCAACGAAGAGGCGGAGTCAGGAGCTATAACTCGACGCCTCTAACCACAAATATGTGACTACACATTCACCTAGAACTCACCCAGTATCCTGAGGATAAATCCTAGCACATAGGCACATATGGAGCCATAGGTGTTGACGTACTCGGGTGCATGTACAGCCAGTGCCAGTTGTGGGAACAGCATCACATAGACCAGGTCGCCACACAGGTAACTGTGGAAGGAATGCTGGTCAAGGTGTTGTAGGGCCCTTACACATTTAACGCCTGCACATGACTTTAATCAAATTAATAATATACTTACGTGATACAGTGTCTACGCCCTTCTGGAAGTTCATAAAAATGCAGATTATCTATCCTGCCTGTGCAGTAAATTATTATGCAAAACAACCACAGGGGGAGTTGAATAATAGCTCTAGGCCTTTCGTGTTGCAGTCAACACATCAGGAGCTTGCAAAGTTGCAGAAATGAGTAAGTAAACTCAGGAAATTCGTTTCGAGGGATGCTAGGGGGCCCCTCGTCTATGGTTGTCTCACATCCTGTGTCGCTTGTCCGCGGGTCTTGCATATTATTACACTATTATTTAAGTTACTACTGCTACTACACTATTATAACTACTTACTGCTAGTATTATTAATGTTGTGCCTGAGGAGTGATAATATACGACTCGAGGAAGAGGTGTTCCTTTAGTGTTGGCAAGGTGTAGGTGTGAGTCCTGGGGTCTGACTCACTGGAGAGGTGTTGCTATAGTGTTAGCAAGGTGTAGGTGTGAGTCCTGGGGTCTGACTCACTGGAGAGGTGTTCCTTTAGTGTTAGCAAGGTGTAGGTGTGAGTCCTGGGGTCTGACTCACTGGAGAGGTGTTGCTATAGTGTTAGCAAGGTGTAGGTGTGAGTCCTGGGGTCTGACTCACTGGAGAGGTGTTGCTATAGTGTTAGCAAGGTGTAGGTGTGAGTCCTGGGGTCTGACTCACTGGAGAGGTGTTCCTTTAGTGTTGGCAAGGTGTAGGTGTGAGTCCTGGGGTCTGACTCACTGGAGAGGTGTTGCTATAGTGTTAGCAAGGTGTAGGTGTGAGTCCTGGGGTCTGACTCACTGGAGAGGTGTTGCTATAGTGTTAGCAAGGTGTAGGTGTGAGTCCTGGGGTCTGACTCACTGGAGAGGTGTTGCTATAGTGTTAGCAAGGTGTAGGTGTGAGTCCTGGGGTCTGACTCACTGAGAGGTGTTGCTATATGTGTTAGCAAGGTGTAGGTGTGAGCCTGGGGTCAGACTGGGGAGAGGATGTGCCTATAGTGTTAGCAAGGAGTAGGTGTACGACCTGGGTGTCTGACTCCACTGAGAGGTGTTGCCTATAGTGTTCCGGTGTGAAGGTGTGAGTCCTGGGGTCTGACTCACTGGAGAGGAGTAGCCTATCTTGCGATAGCAAGTGTAGGTATGTGAGTCGTGGGTCTGACTCACTGAGAGGTGTTTGCTATAGCGAAAGCCAAGGTTTAAGGTGTGAGTCCTGGGTCTGAACTCACTGGAGACGTGTTCCTTTAGTGGTTGTGCACGGTGTAAAGTGTGAGTCTTGGGGTCTGACTCACAGGAGGAGGTGTTCTATAGCGTTAGCAAGGTGTAGGTTTGAGTCTGGGTCTGACTCACTGGAGAAGGTGTTGCTAAAGCGTTAGCAAGGTGTAGGTGAGAGTCCTGGGGTCCTGACTCACTGGAGAGGTGTTGCTATAGCGTTAGCAAGGTGTAGGTGAGTCCTGGAGTCTGACTCCACTGGGAGAGGAGTTGCTATATCGTTAGCCAAGGTGTAGGAGTGAGTCTCTGGGTGTCTGACTCACTGGAGAGGTGTTGCTAATAGCCGTTAGCAAGGTGTAGTGTAGTCCTGGGGTCTGACTCACTGGATGAGGTGTTGCTATAGCGATTAGCGAGGTGTAGGTGTGAGTCCTGGGTCTGACCACTGGAGAGGTGTTTGCTATAGCGTTAGCAAGGTGTAGGTGGGAGACCTGGGTCTTACTCACTGGAGAGGTTTGCTATAAGTGGTTAGCAAGGTGTAGTTGTGATCCTTGGGTCTGACACACTGGAGAGGTGATTCTATATGTGTTGCAAAGAGTAGGTGTGAGTCCTGGGTCTGACTCACTGGAGAGGAGTTGCTATATTGTTAGCAAGGTGTAGGTGAGAGTCCTGGGGTCTGACTTCCTGAGAGGTGTTCTATAGTGTTAGCACGGTGTAGGTGTAAGTCCTGGGTCTGACGTCACTGGAGTTGTGTTGCTATAGTGGTTAGCAAGGTGTAGGGTGAGACCTGGGGTCTGACTCACTGGAGAGGTTTAGCAATAGTGGATAGCAAGTGTAGGTGTGAGTCCTGGGGTCTGACTTACTGGAGAGGTGTTGCTATAGTGTTTAGCAAGGTGTAGGTGTGAGTCCGGGTCTGACTCACTGGGAGAGTGTTCCTTTAGTGTTTGGCAAAGGTGATAGGTGTGTCCTGGGGTCTGACCTCACTGAGAGGGTTGCTATAGGTTAGCAATGTGTAGGTGTAAGTCCTGGGGTCTAGACTCACTGGAGAGGTGATTCAATATTGTAACAAGGTTGGATGGTGTAGTCCTGGGGTATCGACGCGCTGGAGAGGTGTTGCATAGTGTTAGCAAGGTGTAGGTTGAGTCCTGGGGTCTGACTCACTGGAGAAGGTGTTGCATAGTGTAGCAAGGTGTAGGTGTGATTCCTGGTCTGACTCACTGGAGAGATTTTTGCTTATGAGTTTAGCAAGGTTTAGGTGTGAGTCCTGGGGTCTGACTCACTGGAGAGGTGTAGCAAATAGTGTTAGCAAGGTTTTGGTGTGAGTCCTGGGATCTGAACACTGGAGAGTTGTTTTTGCTAAAGTGTTAGCAGGTGTAGGTGTGAGTCCTGGTGTCAGACTCACGGAGAGGTGTATGCTATAGTGTAAGCAAGGTGTAGGGTGTGATCCAGGGGTCTGACTCACAGGAGAGTGTTGCAATAGTGTTTGTCAAGGTGTAGGTGTGAGTCCTGGGGTCTGCTCACTGAGAGGTGTTGCTATAGTGTTAGCAAGTGATATGTTGAGAGTCCATGGGTCTGACTCACTGAGAGAGGTGTTTGCTATAGTGCTAGCAAGGTGTAGGTGTGAGTCCTGGGGTCTGACCACTGGAGAGGTGTTCTTTAGTGTTAGCAAGGTGTAGGTGTGAGACCTAGGGTCCCTGACTCACTGGAGAGGTGTTGCTATAGTGTTAGCAAGGTGTAGGTGTGAGTCCTGGGGTCTGACTCACTGGAGAGGTGTTATCTTAGTATTAGTTAGGTTGTGTTGGCTTCTGTAGCCTTTGTTGCTTTGTTGTGTAGTATGCCCCACCACAGGTTTAATTAATTTCTCTCTTACCCAGTGTTAACAAGGTTCAATGCCCTCTTCAGTATGAGCAAGGTTCAATGACCCTATCAGTGTTGGCAGGGTTAAACGCTTGTTTGTAAGGTTCAACGACCCTCGTCAATGTTTGTAAGGTTCAACGACCCCATCAATGTTTGTAAGGTTCAGCGACCCCATCAGTGTTTAAGGTTCAACGACCCCATCAATGTAAGGTTCAACGACCCCATCAATGTTTGTAAGGTTCAACGACCCCCCTCAATGTAAGGTTCAACGACCCCCCTCAATGTAAGGTTCAACGACCCCATCAATGTTTGTAAGGTTCAACGACCCCATTAATGTAAGGTTCAACGACCCCATCAATGTAAGGTTCAACGACCCCATCAATGTAAGGTTCAACGACCCCATTAATGTAAGGTTAAAACGAACCCATTAATGTCAGGTTCAACGACTCCATTAATGTAAGGTTCAACGAACCCATCAATGTAAGGTTCAACGACCCCATTAATGTAAGGTTCAACGACCCCATCAATGTAAGGTTCAACGACCCCATTAATGTAAGGTTCAACGACCCCATTAATGTAAGGTTCAACGACCCCATCAATGTAAGGTTCAACGACCCCATCAATGTAAGGTTCAACGACCCCATCAATGTTTGTAAGGTTCAACGACCCCATCAATGTTTGTAAGGTTCAACGACCCCATCAATGTAAGGTTCAACGACCCCCCCCAATGTAAGGTTCAACGACCCATCAATGTTTGTAAGGTTCAACGACCCCATCAATGTTTGTAAGGTTCAACGACCCCATGAATGTTCGTAAGGTTCAACGACCCCATCAATGTTCGTAAGGTTCAACGACCCCATCAATGTTCGTAAGGTTCAGCGACCCCATCAATGTAAGGTTCAACGACCCCATGAATGTTCGTAAGGTTCAACGACCCCATGAATGTTCGTAAGGTTCAGCGACCCCATCAATGTTCGTAAGGTTCAACGACCCCATCAATGTTCGTAAGGTTCAGCGACCCCATCAATGTTCGTAAGGTTCAGCGACCCCATCAATGTTCGTAAGGTTCAGCGACCCCATCAATGTTCGTAAGGTTCAGCGACCCCATCAATGTTCGTAAGGTTCAGCGACCCTATCAACGTAAGGTTCAAAGACCCCATCAATGTTTGTAAGGTTCAACGACCCCATCAATGTTCGTAAGGTTCAACGACCCCATCAATGTTCGTAAGGTTCAACGACCCCATCAATGTAAGGTTCAACGACCCCATCAATGTTTGTAAGGTTCAACGACCCCATAATGTTCGTAAGGTTCAACGACCCCATCAATGTTTGTAAGGTTCAACGACCCCATCAATGTTTGTAAGGTTCAACGACCCCATCAATGTTTGTAAGGTTCAGCGACCCGTCAATGTTTGTAAGGTTCCCAACGACCCCTCAGTGTTCGTAAGGTTCAACGACCCCATCAATGTTTTGTAAGGTTCAACGACCCATCAATGTTTGTAAGGTTCAACGACCCCATCAATGTTTGTAAGGTTCAACGACCCCATCAATGTTCGTAAGGTTCAACGACCCCATCAATGTTCGTAAGGTTCAACGACCCCATCAATGTTCGTAAGGTTCAGCGACCCCATCATGTTCGTAAGCAAACCATACCCCGGCCGGATTGAACCCGTTGTCATAGTCTCAAAACTCCAGCCCGTCGCGTTAGCCACTAGACCAGCTAGCCACAATAAGATTCATCCAACTAGGTATATTTCTACACCATAGGAAGGTTAGCACAGGCACCTCTGTGACCACAAATGCAAGTTTTTACAGACGAATCTCCAGCTAGCGTGGCCGTGACGAACTCTAGCTTTGAGACTCTATGACCGCGGGTTCAATCCCGGCCGGGGGTATGGTTTGTTTGCAATCGTGTCATTACGATTTCTAGAGTCATGTTGACGGCAGTGAAGGGACTTGAGCTAGAGTTCGTCACGGCCACGCTAGCTGGAGATTCGTCTGTAAAAACTTGCATTTGTGGTCACAGAGGTGCCTGTGCTAACCTTCCTATGGTGTAGAAATATACCTAGTTGGATGAATCTTATTGTGGCTAGCTGGTCTAGTGGCTAACACGACGGGCTGGAGTTTTGAGACTCTATGACCGCGGGTTCAAATCCCGGCCGGGGGTATGGTTTGTTTGCAATCATGTCATTACGATTTCTAGAGTAATGTTCGTAAGGTTCAGCGACCCCATCAATGTTCGTAAGGTTCAGCGACCCCATCAATGTTCGTAAGGTTCAGCGACCCCATCAATGTTCGTAAGGTTCAGCGACCCCATCAATGTTCGTAAGGTTCAGCGACCCCATCAATGTTCGTAAGGTTCAGCGACCCCATCAATGTTCGTAAGGTTCAACGACCCCATCAATGTTCGTAAGGTTCAACGACCCCATCAATGTTTGTAAGGTTCAGCGACCCCATCAATGTTTGTAAGGTTCAACGACCCCATCAATGTTTGGGAAGGTTCAGCGACCCCGTCAATGTTTGTAAGGTTTCAACGACCCCATAATGTTCGTAAGGTTCAACGACCCCATCAATGTTTAAGGTTCAACGACCCCATCAATGTTTGTAAGGTTCAACGACCCCATCAATGTTTGTAAGGTTCAACGACCCCATCAGTGTTTGTAAGGTTCAACGACCCCATCAATGTTTGTAAGGTTCAACGACCCCATCAATGTTTGTAAGGTTCAACGACCCCATAATGTTCGTAAGGTTCAACGACCCCATCAATGTTTGTAAGGTTCAACGACCCCATCAATGTTTGTAAGGTTCAACGACCCCATAATGTTTATAAGGTTCAACGACCCCATAATGTTCGTAAGGTTCAACGACCCCATCAATGTTTGTAAGGTTCAACGACCCATCAATGTTTGTAAGGTTCAACGACCCCATCAATGTTTGTAAGGTTCAACGACCCCATCAATGTTCGTAAGGTTCAACGACCCCATCAATGTTCGTAAGGTTCAACGACCTCATCAGTGTTTGCAAGGTTCAACGACCCCATCAATGTTCGTAAGGTTCAACGACCCCATCAATGTTCGTAAGGTTCAACGACCTCAGTAGTGTAATGTTAAACCACCCATCAATTTTTTGCATGGTTTCCCCCGTTAATCTAACCCAGCCTAATCAAAATTAACGTAATCTATCCTGACCATAACAGCCAACTCAGAAAAATTAGTTGAAACATTGGATAAAAATCAGAAATCTGAATTAGAAGAATGGTTGAGATTCGCACATTGAAGCGGAAATTGAACCATGGCAAGTGAGTCATCAGGCTCGCAGGCCGTGCGTTAACCACTGGGCCACAGCAGGGGACTTGAACTAGAGTTCACTACAGCCACGCTGGTGTGGTCATATTGGTGGCCCATGCTATTCTCCCTATGGTGTATAGCAATATACCCAGCTGGATGGCTCTCACCAAAGCCAGCTGGCCTAGTGGTTAACGCACTGGCCTGTGAATTTTTAAGACTCCGTGCCATGGGTTTAAACCCTACCCGTTCCCTAATGACAATAATAATCTTTATTTCTACCAGTACATGATACAACTTATACAGACCATAGCGACATCAGTGACATACTATATTTCTCGCAACTAGGTTGTTTTATCCCCAGGATGCCATCCACACCAGTCCACCAAAACCCAGGTACCTACTACTGCTAGATGAACAGGAACAGCAGGTGTAAGGTAAATAACACCCAGGTACCTATTTTACTGCTAGGTGAACAGGAACAGCAAGTGTAAAATGACCGACTAATACCCAGGTACCTATTTATTACGATTTCCTGAGTAGTGGTTTTCTAGTTACTTACAATAGTTCATAGATGGAATATTGACTACGATGGCAGTTACAGTAGAGTTGGAAGCCACCACCAGGACTGACACCTTCTATTACTATCAGAATCTCGCGGTCGCTGGCCTGTGGATGGTTAATTGGTTTTAAGTTTATCAACTGCACGAGAGGTCATTCACAGACACGTAAATTTCCCAGTCTTCTAATAACATGTTCAGTTTTCCACTATAATCTACCTTGTCCATAATTACTGTCACATTTGCTTTGTCTGTTTCGTAAGGTGAAGTCCAGGATCTTTACTTAATTCCTGGTATAACTTAACAAGTCTTTGATGACAATTGTGTTGTAGAGGTCTGAGCACAGCTCAGACCTCTACAACACAATACCCTGGCTGCAACACTTCACAACTAACACACAAGCCACAATACTCTGGCTGCAACACTTCACAACTAACACACAAGCCACAATACTCTGGCTGCAACACTTCGCAACTAACACACAAGCCACAATACCCTGGCTGCAACACTTCACAACTAACACACAAGCCACAATACCCTGGCTGCAACACTTCACAACCAACACACAAGCCACAATACCCTGGCTGCAACACTTCACAACTAACACACAAGCAACAATACCCTGGCTGCAACACTTCACAACTAACACACAAGCCACAATTACCCTGGCTGCAACACCTTCACAACTAACACACAAGTCACAATACTCTGGCTGCATACACTTCACAACTACCCACAAGTCACAGACTCTGCTGCAACACTTCACAACGTAACACACAAGTCCACAATACTCTGGCTGCACACTTCAACAACTAACACACAAGTCACAGTACTCTGGCTGCAACACTTCACAACTAACACACAAGCCACAATACTCTGGCTGCAACACTTCACAACTAACACACAAGCCACAATACCCTGGCTGCAACACTTCACAACTAACACACAAGCCACAATACCCTGGCGGCAACACTTCACAACTAACACACAAGTCACAATACTCTGGCTGCAACACTTCACAACTGAACCCACAAGCCACAATACCTGGCTGCAACACTCAACAACTAACACACAAGCACAATACTCAGGCTGCAACACTTCACAACTAACACACAAGCCACAATACTCTGGCTCTGCAACACTTCACAACTACACACAAGCCACAATACTCTGGCTGCAACACTTCACAACTAACACACAAGCAACAATACTCTGGCTGCCAACACTTCACAACCAACACACAAGCAACAATACCCTGGCTGCAACACTTCACAACTAACACACAAGCCACAATACCCTGGCTGCAACACTTCACAACTAACACACAAGCCACAATACTTGGCTGCACACTTCACAACTAACCCACAAGCAACAATACTCGGCTTGCAACACTTCACAACTACCCACAAGCACAATACTCTGGCTGCTAAAACTCACAACTAACCCACAAGCAACAATACCCTGGCTGCAACACTTCACAACTAACACACAAGCCACAATACCCTGGCTGCAACACTTCACAACTAACACACAAGTCACAATACTCTGGCTGCAACACTTCACAACTAACACACAAGCCACATACCCTGGCTGCAACACTTCACAACTAACACACAAGCCACAATACTCTGGCTGCAACACTTCACAACTAACACACAAGCAACAATACTCTGGCTGCAACACTTCACAACTAACACACAAGCCACAATACTCTGGCTGCAACACTTCACAACTAACACACAAGCCACAATACTCTGGCGTGCAACACTTCACAACTAACATCACAAGCCACATACCCTGGCTGCAACACTTCACACTAACACACAAGCCACAATACTCTGGCTGCAACACTTCACAACTAACCCACAAGCACAATACTCTGGCTGCAACACTTCACAACTAACACACAAGCCACAATACTCTGGCTGCAACACTTCACAACTAACACACAAGCCACAATACTCTGGCTGCAACACTTCACAACTAACACACAAGCAACAATACTCTGGCTGCAACACTTCACAACCAACACACAAGTCACAATACTCTGGCTGCAACACTTCACAACTAACACACAAGCCACAATACCCTGGCTGCAACACTTCACAACTAACACACAAGCCACAATACTCTGGCTGCAACACTTCACAACTAACACACAAGTCACAATACCCTGGCTGCAACACTTCACAACTAACACACAAGTCACAATACCCTGGCTGCAACACTTCACAACTAACACACAAGTCACAATACCCTGGCTGCAACACTTCACAACTAACACACAAGCCACAATACCCTGGCTGCAACACTTCACAACTAACACACAAGTCACAATACCCTGGCTGCAACACTTCACAACTAACACACAAGTCACAATACCCTGGCTGCAACACTTCACAACTAACACACAGCCACAATACTCTGGCTGCAAACACTTCACAACTAACACACAAGTCACAATACCCTGGCTGCAAACCTTCACAACAACACACAAGTCACAATACCCTGGCTGCAACACTTCACAACTAACACACAAGTCACAATACCCTGGCTGCAACACTTCACAACTAACACACAAGCCACAATACCCTGGCTGCAACACTTCACAACTAACACACAAGTCACAATACCCTGGCTGCAACACTTCACACTAACTCACAAGTCACAATACCCTGGCTGCAACACTTCACAACTAACACACAAGCCACAATACCCTGGCTGCATCACTTCACCAGGAAAGGAAACCTACAACATTTCTATCCCCCTTGAACTATTTCGGTCCAGGAGTGACCTAAATGTCGTCTCGATCCACCATTTTCATCTCTCACAACATCAAAAAAAACATCAACACAGGGAAGCTTAAGACTCCACTGCTTCTCCACTTACGGAACGTCTAATGACATTCTTGTAGATGTTATTAGCGAACATTGACGAGCCTGAGAGGACTGAAGAATCCGCTGACGACATGACAGCAGCGCTGACAGCTCCAAGACCCAAGAATGTCACCCACTGAAAAAAAACTCCACTCTTATTAGAAGTAGTAGTAGTAGTAGCAGTAGCAGTAGTAGTAGCAGTGGTAGTCGTAGAATTAGCAGTAGTAGCAGCAGTAGTAGTAGTAGTGACAATAGTAATAGCAGTAGTAATAGTAGCAGTAGAAGAGTTAGTAGTAGTAATAATAGCAGTAGTAACCACAGTAGTAATAGTAGCAGTATCTATTATAACCCTCCCAAAAACTTAATATATGCTAAAAGGCTTCCAAACCTCTCCATGACCATACCAAAAAGTTTATTACGGAAATTTTCAAATCAGGCAGCGAGCTCCTGGCTTTCTGCCACACTAAAATTATTTTTTAAAAAATATACTGCCCACTAAATATTTTGGTGGTGGTGGCCACCACAGCAGTCGTGGTGTAATAAAAGTCGCGGACCTGAAGGTTACAAATTAGTTAATGGAAGTCTACGGGGAAATTATCTTGAACCTAGAAGACACAACTAAAATATTGAGTGTGTGACTGAAGGAAGAAAAGAATTCGTGTTAGAATTAGTGTAGGCTTGATCCTCCGTACACACACACACAAGAATGTAGATAAATGGTTCATGTAACCGACAAGTTGATATATTAGACATGTGCAACGCTTGGGTATCTTTATTGAGGAAACGTTTCGCCACAGACTGGCTTCATCAGTCCAGTGAAAAAAGAACTGTGAAGATAGAAGGAGTTTGAAGGAATCAGTCCCCCAGAATGGAGTCGATGTAATTTATATTTATTTATAAAACTGATTTTCTTCCATTACCCCGAAAAAAATTGTATAGAATATAATTGTCCCTCCTAGTGGTATTTTGGAAACGCCTGAATTAGGCTAGTAGTGGCTATTTCGAAAATGGTCAAGGTTAGAGTATGGCTGTAAAGTTGACAGATGTATAGAGGAAATACTCAATATACACGAGTAGGGGAATGTAATCCTTAATCCTAAAAAATCTCCCTGAGAGCTCTCACAGATTGGGAGGAAAGTAGAGAGAGAGGGAGAGAGAGAGAGAGGACAGTCACGGAGTACTCTGGAGAAAATAACAATCAGGTTAAGTGGCTGCTGGATCTTTTAAGAGCAGGTCGCTCACAGGTAATGTCATAATCCTAATTCAGGAGGTCTACCTGAATTAAATGACTAAGCCAGCCATTGTTATTGTTGTAACGTTGTTACCACACACTGCCTTCCCTGCCATCCACAGCACACTGCCTTCCCTGCCATCCACAACACACACTGCCTTCCCAGCCATCCACAACACACACTGCCTTCCCAGCCATCCATAACACACTGCCTTCCCTGCCATCCACAGCACACACTGAATTCCCTGCCATCCACAACACACTGCCTTCCCTGCCATCCACAACACACTGCCTTCCCTGCCATCCACAGCACACACTGCCTTCCCTGCCATCCACAACACACTGCCTTCCCTGCCATCCACAACACACTGCCTTCCCTGCCATCCACAGCACACACTGCCTTCCCTGCCATCCACAACACACTGCCTTCCCTGCCATCCACAGCACACACTGCCTTCCCTGCCATCCACAACACACACTGCCTTCCCTGCCATCCACACACACACTGCCTTCCCTGCCATCCACAACACACACTGCCTTCCCTGCCATCCACAACACACACTGCCTTCCCTGCCATCCACAGCACACACTGGCTTCCCTGCCATCCACAGCACACACTGCCTTCCCTGCCATCCACAGCACACACTGCCTTCCCTGCCATCCACAGCACACACTGCCTTCCCTGCCATCCACAACACACACTGCCTTCCCTGCCATCCACAGCACACACTGCCTTCCCTGCCATCCACAACACACACTGCCTTCCCTGCCATCCACAACACACACTGCCTCCTGCCATCCACAGCACACACTGCTTCCCTGCCATCCACAGCACACACTGCCTTCCCTGCCATCTACAACACACACTGCCTTCCCTGCCATTGACAACACACACTGCCTTCCCTGCCATCCACAGCACACATTGCCTTCCCCGCCATCCACAACACACACTGGCTTCCCTGCCATCCACAGCACACACTGCCTTCCCCGCCATCCACAGCACACACTGCCTTCCCTGCCATCCACAACACACAACTGGCTTCCCTGCCATCCACACACACACTGCCTTCCCTGCCATCCACAGCACACACTGCCTTCCCAGCCATCCACAACACACACTGCCTTCCCAGCCATCCACAACACACACTGCCTTCCCAGCCATCCACAACACACTGCCTTCCCTGCCATCCACAGCACACACTGCCTTCCCAGCCATCCACAACACACACTGCCTTCCCTGCCATCCACAACACACACTGCCTTCCCTGCCATTCACAGCACACACTGCCTTCCCAGCCATCCACAACACACACTGCCTTCCCTGCCATCCACAACACACACTGGCTTCCCTGCCATCCACAACACACACTGCCTTCCCTGCCATCCACAGCACACACTGCCTTCCCTGCCATTGACAACACACACTGCCTTCCCTGCCATCCACAGCACACACTGCCTTCCCTGCCATCCACAACACACTGCCTTCCCTGCCATCCACAGCACACACTGCCTTCCCTGCCATTGACAACACACACTGCCTTCCCTGCCATCCACAACACACTGCCTTCCCTGCCATCCACAGCACACACTGCCTTCCCAGCCATCCACAACACACACTGCCTTCCCTGCCATCCACAACACACACTGCCTTCCCTGCCATCCACAACACACACTGCCTTCCCTGCCATCCACAACACACACTGCCTTCCCTGCCATCCACAGCACACACTGCCTTCCCTGCCATCCACAACACACTGCCTTCCCTGCCATCCACAGCACACACTGCCTTCCCTGCCATTGACAACACACACTGCCTTCCCTGCCATCCACAACACACTGCCTTCCCTGCCATCCACAACACACTGCCTTCCCTGCCATCCACAGCACACACTGCCTTCCCAGCCATCCACAACACACACTGCCTTCCCTGCCATCCACAACACACACTGCCTTCCCTGCCATCCACAACACACACTGCCTTCCCTGCCATCCACAACACACACTGCCTTCCCTGCCATCCACAGCACACACTGCCTTCCCTGCCATTGACAACACACACTGCCTTCCCTGCCATCCACAGCACACACTGCCTTCCCTGCCATCCACAACACACTGCCTTCCCTGCCATCCACAGCACACACTGCCTTCCCTGCCATCCACAGCACACACTGCCTTCCCTGCCATCCACAACACACTGCCTTCCCTGCCATCCACAGCACACACTGCCTTCCCAGCCATCCACAACACTGCCTTCCCTGCCATCCACAGCACACACTGCCTTCCCTGCCATCCACAGCACACACTGCCTTCCCTGCCATCCACAAACACACTGCCTTCCCTGCCATCCACAGCACACACTGCCTTCCCAGCCATCCACAACACACACTGCCTTCCCTGCCATCCACAGCACACACTGCCTTCCCAGCCATCCACAACACACACTGCCTTCCCTGCCATTACAACCCAGGAGTCCAAATGGCCTGTTATCCTGGGTGTAAAGGGAGCAAAATAAACACAGCAGAAAAGTTTTGACTTATATTATCCTTCACCAATTTAGAACAGCAATATGTACACTATGTACAGTGATAAGTATCAGTGCACTCCACGGTAAGCAAGGTAGAATAGAAGCCACAAGAGCAGACCGTGCTTCAACCAGCTCTAGAATGGGAATGACAAGGGCAGACAGGAGAGTGGTACCCACATAACCTCTGCGATTGCCAAAACCATCTTCTTATTGGCTGGAACCTGGTCACTAGTTGAACGACGGGGCCCCATCGTCAACTCTTAGTTACCTGGTTCGCTGATTGTGGGAGATAGCCTGTAAATGAGGGTGTGTACATGCGCCGAATAAAGGTTACGTACTCTTTGTATGCCTTCCCTGCCATCCACAACACACACTGCCTTCCCTGCCATCCACAACACACACTGCCTTCCCTGCCATCCACAACAACACACACTGCCTTCCCCGCCATCCACAACACACACTGCCTTCCCCGCCATCCACAACACACACTGCCTTCCCTGTCATCCACAACACACTCTGCCTTCCCTGCCATCCACAGCGCACACTGCCTTCCCCGCCATCCACACAAACTGCCTTCCCTGCCATCCACAACACACTCTGCCTTCCCTGCCATCCACAGCGCACACTGCCTTCCCCGCCATCCACAACACACACTGCCTTCCCTGCCATCCACAGCACACACTGCCTTCCCTGCCATCCACAGCACACACTGCCTTCCCCGCCATCCACAACACACACTGCCTTCCCTGCCATCCACAACACACTGCCTTCCCTGCCATCCATAGCACACACTGCTTTCCCCGCCATCCACAACACACACTGCCTTCCCCGCCATCCACAACACACTGCCTTCCCCGCCATCCACAACACACTCTGCCTTCCCCGCCATCCACAACACACACTGCCTTCCCTGCCATCCACAACACACTGCCTTCCCTGCCATCCACAGCACACACTGCCTTCCCTGCCATCCACAGCACACACTGCCTTCCCTGCCATCTACAACACACACTGCCTTCCCTGCCATTGACAACACACACTGCCTTCCCTGCCATCCACAGCACACATTGCCTTCCCCGCCATCCACAACACACACTGGCTTCCCTGCCATCCACAGCACACACTGCCTTCCCCGCCATCCACAGACACACCTGCCTTCCCTTCCATCCACAACACACTGCCTTCCCTGCCATCCACAACACACACTGCCTTCCCAGCCATCCACAACACACACTGCCTTCCCTGCCATCCACAACACACACTGCCTTCCCTGCCATCCACAACACACTGCCTTCCCTGCCATCCACAACACACACTGCCTTCCCAGCCATCCACAACACACACTGCCTTCCCAGCCATCCACAACACACACTGCCTTCCCTGCCATCCACAACACACACTGCCTTCCCTGCCATCCACAACACACATGCCTTTCCTGCCATCCACAACACACACTGCCTTCCCAGCCATCCACAACACACACTGCCTTCCCAGCCATCCACAACACACACTGCCTTCCCTGCCATCCACAACACACACTGCCTTTCCTGCCATCCACAACACACACTGCCTTCCCAGCCATCCACAACACACACTGCCTTCCCAGCCATCCACAACACACACTGCCTTCCCTGCCATCCACAACACACACTGCCTTCCCTGCCATCCACAACACACACTGCCTTCCCTGCCATCCACAACACACACTGCCTTCCCTGCCATCCACAACACACACTGCCAACCAAGCAATTCCGAAAAGGGTTGAGGTTTAGGTGGCATCTGACATGTCACCTAAACCTTATTTTATGCCCACCTGTGTGAGGGGTACCTAATGAGTGTGAGGTACCTAATGAGTGTGAGGTATGAAATGAGTGTGTGAGTTACATAATGAGTGTGTGACGTACATAAGTATATTTTTTGAAAAATAAAGGTACGAGGAGCATAATTAGTGGTCAGGTACCACTGACCTGGGGAGTTAGGTGCTGCATAACCAGAGGAAGTATCATCTTGGTCTGGTCCGCAGGTACCTCCTTCCCGAACGAGGTGGCAGACCAATCTGTTGTAAAAAAATATATATATATGTCGTGCCGAATAGGTAGAACTTTTTTTTTTTTATTCGCCGGTATCTCCCGGCCCGGGTCTTTTCCAAGTAGTGGTGACCCGGCCTTGGCTCCCTATCTGGGGAGTGTCTCGAGACCCAAGTCTCCCATGGGAGGAGGTACATGTACCCCCTCATCTTTGGGACCAAGTGTCCCCAGGCCTAGCCAGAACGTGCAATCTTGGCTTAAATAGCAACGTGAAAGTTTGTGTATGCAATAATTTCGCCAAAATCATTCTGAACGTAACGAAAAAAATATATTTCACTGTGTTTGTTTAGTATTAAATTATTGTAAACAAATCTAAAATATATTTAGTTGGGTTAGGCTAAAATAAATTGCGCTTGTTATAATAAGGTTAGGTAAGTTTTCTAAGTTCCTTTTGGTGCAAAATTATAAATTTTCACATCAACATTAATGAAAAAAATATATCTTTAAACGTATAAGAGAAAATTTTAGAAATGACTTAATTTTAAATGAGTTCTTGCAAATTGACCAGTTTTACATATTCGGCACGACATAATATATATATATATATATATATATATATATATATATATATATAATATATATATATATATATATATATATAATATATATATATATATATATCTATATAATATATATATATATATATATATATATATATTGATGTGTGTGTTGTGTGTGTCATTATATTTGGAAAATAAATGGAGTGACCCCCGTGGAAAGCTTACCTAAACGAACCCATAAGACGGCCACATAACACTAATTCTCTTCCAGTCTCTATATATTCCTGCTCCTCCTCTTCTCTATACCTGACCTCTAACTCTTCTTTCTGCTCTAACCTCTGTAGAGGTGCACCTTGAAGACGAAAAATAGCATTGAGAAATATTCTAATAGCGAGTCTGCCGTATGACGCGTACGTGACACGTATTGTTGTTTTTGACTCCTGAGTCTGGACCAACTCTACAGTAGTGATCACACGGTCAGCACAGTCACCAAGAGTCTGGACCAACTCTACAGTAGTGATCACACGGTCAGCACAGTCACCAAGAGTCTGGACCAACTCTACAGTAGTGATCACACGGTCAGACACAGTCACCAAGAGTCTGGACCAACTCTACAGTAGTGATCACACGGTCAGCACAGTCACCAAGAGTCTGGACCAACTCTACAGTAGTGATCACACGGTCAGCACAGTCACCAAGAGTCTGGACCAACTCTACAGTAGTGATCACACGGTCAACACAGTCACCAAGAGTCTGGACCAACTCTACAGTAGTGATCACACGGTCAGCACAGTCACCAAGAGTCTGGACCAACTCTACAGTAGTGATCACACGGTCAACACAGTCACCAAGAGTCTGGACCAACTCTACAGTAGTGATCACACGGTCAACACAGTCACCAAGAGTCTGGACCAACTCTACAGTAGTGATCACACGGTCAACACAGTCACCAAGAGTCTGGACCAACTCTACAGTAGTGATCACACGGTCAACACAGTCACCAAGAGTCTGGACCAACTCTACAGTCGTGATCACACGGTCAGCACAGTCACCAATATATCCACTTTAACTATATGGTTATAAATAGAACTATAATTTTTAAGGGAATGGACCGGTAAGCCAGCGGAAGGCCTCGGTCAGGTGACCAAAGGCTCCAGCTGCCGATCTTCATCTGAGACCCACGTCAGGAAACACTTGTCCTGTTTCTTGACGCAGGTCTTAGATGGGTCTAGTCTCGGCTCTCTCCCTCACTCTCTTACCCTTCCTATCTCCCACATATCTTCCACTATGGCAGTGGTTCCCAGACTGGGGGTAAATTACCCCCTGGGGGTAATTTAACCATTTTTGGGGGGTAATGGAGGGGTGACAGAAAAAAAGTTATGAATTATGAAAATCAAGAAAACAATGCGGTACCCGGTATGAGGATTATTGTTAACTTTGTCTTAGTATATAAAGTTGTAAAGTAAACCTATTATAAGTAAGTAATAAAGTTAAACCAAATAGCAATAAACATCAAAAACTAATATGCAGTATTAGAAAAGAAGAAATATATAGCTAAGTGTGTGGAAATCCAAAAGTATTTTGACAAGTATGCTTCAGGACAAAAGTCACTCAGTAGCCCAGATCGACCTGTCCAGTACGCGTCACTCACTTCCTGAGGCTGCCTCTATTTCACACTGTCAGTTTATCTGTGAGCATCAGCCGAGGTAGACATAAGCTGGTATGTATGTGTACTGCCCTGTGCAGTATATAGTTAGTATTTACCCACTGTTACTGTGAATTTGTAGCTATTATTAATTTTATATATAATGTATGTGTGGTTCTTACGTTTTCAATGGTTTTGCTAGGATTAGCAGAGTATGCGAGGCTGTATACGTTCACGTTTACCCATATATATCAATAATAACAACATTTTGTGAAAGGGGTAACATGCTTTACGTGGCATGTTAAATTGGGTAACAAGCTGAAAAAGTTTGGGAACCACTGCACTATGGGCTTACCTGGGAGTACCCTGCTACTGCTACTCTCACCCCCATGGTCTTACCTGGGAGTACCCTGCTACTGCTACTCTCACCCCCATGGTGTTACCTGGGAGTACCCTGCTACTGCTACTCTCACCCCATGGTCTTACCTGGGAGTACCCTGCTACTGCTACTCTCACCCCCATGGTGTTACCTGGGAGTACCCTGCTACTGCTACTCTCACCCCCATGGTCTTACCTGGGAGTACCCTGCTACTGCTACTCTCACCCCCATGGTGTTACCTGGGAGTACCCTGCAAACTGCTACTCTCACCCCCATGGTGTTACCTGGGAGTACCCTGCTACTGCTACTCTCACCCCCATGGTCTTACCTGGGAGTACCCTGCTACTGCTACTCTCGCCCCCATGGTCTTACCTGGGAGTACCCTGCTACTGCTACTCTCACCCCCATGGTCTTACCTGGGAGTACCCTGCTACTGCTACTCTCACCCCCATGGTCTTACCTGGGAGTACCCTGCTACTGCTACTCTCACCCCCATGGTCTTACCTGGGAGTACCCTGCTACTGCTACTCTCACCCCCATGGTCTTACTTGGGAGTACCCTGCTGCTTGTGGCCCCAGGAGTGTTGTTGGTGAGTTATGTTGGGGTTGAGAGCTAGCTCCTGGCCCCAGGAGTGTTATTACCGAGTTATGTTTGGGGTGTTGAGAGGTAGCTCCTGGCACCAGGAGTGTTATTACCGAGTTATGTTTGGGGTGTTGAGAGGTAGCTCCTGGCACCAGGAGTGTTATTACCGAGTTATGTTTGGGGATTGAGAGCTAGCTCCTGGCCCCAGGAGTGTTATTACCGAGTTATGTTTGGGGTGTTGAGAGGTAGCTCCTGGCACCAGGAGTGTTATTACCGAGTTATGTTTGGGGTGTTGAGAGGTAGCTCCTGGCACCAGGAGTGTTATTACCGAGTTATGTTTGGGGGATTGAGAGCTAGCTCCTGGCCCCAGGAGTGTTATTACCGAGTTATGTTTGGGGTGTTGAGAGGTAGCTCCTGGCACCAGGAGTGTTATTACCGAGTTATGTTTGGGGTGTTGAGAGCTAGCTCCTGGCGCCAGGAGTGCTATTACCGAGTTATGTTTGGGAGTTGAGAGCTAGCTCCTGGCACGCACCAGGTGTGTGTGAGTGGCGAGTGTCATAACACAGGAAAGTGTCTACTGACCAGTGGCCTTAGCTATGGCACCAATGACGCAGGCTGGCACTGCCATGAAGAAACAGCCGAACGATCCGGCGAAGGAAAGTACCTGGGCTTGTTTACTGGTGCGAGCAGACAGTACACGCTGGAAGTACGCCTGTGGGAAGATAAATCTTTAGTGGGTTACAGTAGAGGCACACATCGGGGCCGGGAGCTACGAATCGACCCCTGCAACTACATATATGTGAGTACACAAAGACACACACACACCTGCCAAGGTATACCACCGAAGATAAGAAGGAGAGCGAAGTCAGTCCACTCTCCCCACACCCAGGGTGTGTCTGAGGGTATGGAACCCAGCCAGTCAGTGAACCCAGGGTGCAGCGAACCCACCGCTTCGTTGCGCATAGCGAATGGAACCGTAACCCACTGTAATAGAGAGAGAGAGAGAGAGCTCAGCCTGGAGAAACAGTATTAATTGTACATTGTAAGAAGCCTGGTCAAAGACCGGGCCACGGGTCCGTTGACCCCCGAAAGCCTCTCCAGGTATACTCTATTAATTTCTACGATATATTAGAGTAATGGTTCCATGTGGAGCTAGATTTGCACCATTTTTAACACACACAATGACTATAATTACGAGGAATTCATTTGTTTTTCGAGAACGTCAATTATTATTGTGTTTTATGTATAGCTATGGTGGTAGTGTTGGTGGTGGTAGTGGCAGCGTTGGGGGAGTGGTAGTGTTAGTTTGTAGTGGTACGTTGGTATGGGTGGTGGGGTGTGGTGGTGTTGCTGGTGGTGGTGGTGTTCTGGTGGTGTTGGTGTTTTCTGGTGATGGTAGTATTGCTGGTGGTAGTTTTGGTGTTGCTGGTAGTGTTGCTGGTGGTGGTGGTGTTGCTGGTGGTGTTGGTGTTGCTGGTGATGGTAGTATTGCTGGTGGTAGTTTTGGTTGCTGGTAGTGTTGGTGGTGGTGGTGGTGTTGCTGGTGGTGTTTTGGGGTTTTCTGGTGATGGTAGTATTGCTGGTGGTAGTTTTGGTGTTGCTGGGTGTTGCTGGTGGGGGTGGTGTTGCTGGTGGTGTTGGTGTTGCTGGGGATGGGTAGTATTGCTGGTGGTAGTTTTGGTGTTGCTGGTAGTGTTGCTGGTGGGGGTGGTGTTGCTGGTGGTGTTGGTGTTGCTGGTGATGGTAGTATTGCTGGTGGAGTTTTGGTGTTGCTGGTAGTGTTGTGGTGGTGGTGGTGTTGCTGGTGGTGTTGGTGTTGCTGGTGATGGTAGTATTGGCTGGTGGTAGTTTTTGTGTTGCGGTAGTGTTGGTGGTGGTGGTGGGGTTGCTGGTGGTGTTGGTGTTGCTGGTGATGGTAGTATTGCTGGTGGTAGTTTTGGTGTTGCTGGTAGTGTTGCTGGTGGTGGGGGTGTTGCTGGTGGTGTTGGTGTTGCTGGTGATGGTAGTATTGCTGGTGGTAGTTTTGGTGTTGCTGGTATGTTGCTGGTGGTGGGGGGTGTTGTGGGGGTGTTGGTGTTGCTGGTGATGGTAGTATTGCTGTGGTAGTTTTGGTGTTGCTGGTAGTGTTGGTGGTGGTGGGTGTTGCTGGTGGTGGTGGTAGTGTTGGTGTTGGCTGGTTTTTGGTAGTGTTGCTGGTGGTAGTTTGGTGTTGCTGGTAGTGGGTTGGTGGTGGTGGTGTGTTTCTGGTGGTGGTGGTAGTGTTGGTGTTGCTGGTGATGGTAGGTTGCTGGTGGTAGTTTGGTGTTGCTGGTATGTTGGTGGTGGTGGTGGTGTTGCTGGTGGTGTTGGTGTTGCTGGTGATGGTAGTGTTGCTGTGTGGTAGTTTTGGTGTTGCTGGTAGTGTTGGTGGTGGTGGTGGTGTTGCTGGTGGTGTTGGTGTTGTGGGGATGGTAGTGTTGCTGGTGGTAGTTTTGGTGTTGCTGGTAGTGTTGGTGGTGGTGGTGGTGTTGCTGGTGGTGTTGGTGTTGCTGGTGATGGTGTGTTTTGCTGGTGGTAGTTTTGGTGTTGCTGGGAGTGTTGGTGGTGGTGGTGGTGTTGCTGGTGGTGGTGGTAGTGTTGGTGTTGCTGGTGATGGTAGTGTTGCTGGTGGTATTTTTTGGTGTTGCTGGGAGTTTTGGTGGTGGTGGTGGGTTGCTGGTGGGGTTGGTGTTGCTGGTGATGGTAGTGTTGCTGTGGGAGTTTTGGTGTTGCTGGTAGTGTTGGTGGTGGTGGTGGTGTTGCTGGTGGTGGTGGTAGTGTTGGTGGTGGTGGGTTGCTGGTGGTGGTGGTGTTGGGTGGTGGTGGTGGTTTGCTGGTGGTGGTGGTGGTGGTTTTTGCTTGGTGGTGTTGCTGGAGTGTTGGTGGTAGTGTTGGTGTTGCTGGTGGTGGTTGCTGGTAGTGTTGTGGTAGTTTTTGGTGTTGCTGGTGATGGTAGTGTTGCTGGTGGTGGTGGTGTTGCTGGTGGTGGTGGTGGTGGTGTTGCTGGTGGTGTTGCTGGGAGTGTTGGGGGTAGTGTTGGTGTTGCTGGTGGTGTTGCTGGGAGTGTTGGGGGTATGTTGGTGTTGCTGGTGGTGTTTTCTGTATTTTTGGTGGTAGTGTTGGTGTTGCTGGTGGTGTTGCTGGTAGTGTTGGTGGTAGTGTTGGTGTTGCTGGTGGTGTTGCTGGTAGTGTTGGTGGTAGTGTTGGTGTTTGTGGTGATGGTAGTGTTTTCTGGTGGTGGTGGTGTTGCTGGTGGGGGTGGGTTGCTGGTGGTGTTGCTGGTAGTGTTGGTGGTGGTGGTGGTAGTGTTGCTGGGGGGTGGTGGTGGTGGTGTTGCTGGTGGTGGGGGTGTGTTTCTGGTGGTGGTGGTAGTGTTTCTGGTGGTGGTGGTAGTGTTGCTGGTGGTGGTGGGGTAGTGTTGCGGTGGTGGTGGGAGTGTTTTCTGGTGGTGGTGGTAGTGTTGGTGGTGGTGGTGGTGTTGCTGGTGGTGGTGGTAGTGTTGGTGGTGGTGGTAGTGGTGGGGTATGGTTTTCTGGTGGTGGGGTATGTTGCTGGTGGTGGTGGTGTGTTGGTGGGGGTGGTGGTGTTGCTGGGGGGTGGTGGTAGTGTTGGTGGTGTGGTGGGGTTGCTGGTGGTGGTGGTAGTGTTGCTGGGGGGTGGGTGGTGTTGCTGGTGGTGGTGGTAGTGTTGCTGGTGGTGGTGGTAGTGTTGGTGTAGTGTTGTGTTGCTGGTGGTGGTGGTGGTGGTGGTGGTGGTGGTGTTGCTGGTGGTGGTGGTGGAGTGTTGCTGGTGGTGGTGGTAGTGTTGGTGGTGGTGGTGGTGTTGCTGGTGGTGGTGGTAGTGTTGGTGGTGGTGGTAGTGTTGGTGGTGGTGGTGGTAGTGTTGGTGTGGGTGGTAGTGTTGGTGGTGGGGTAGTGTTGGTGGTGGGGGTGGTGTTGTGGTGGTGGTGGTAGTGTTGGTGGTGGTGGTAGTGTTGGGGGTGGTGGTGGTGTGCTGGTGGTGGGGGTAGTGTTGGTGTGGTGGTGTAGTGTTGGTGGTGGTGGTAGTGTTGGTGGTGGTGGTAGTGTTGGTGGTGGTGGTGGTGTTGCTGGTGGTTTGGGGGTAGTGTTGTGGTGGTGGGGAGTGTTGGTGGGGGGTGGTGGTGTTGCTGGTGGTGGTGGTAGTGTTGGTGGTGGTGGTAGTGTTGGTGGTGGTGGTATGTGGTGGTGGGTGGTAGGTTGGTGGTGGTGGGTGGTTGTGGTGGTGGTGGTGTGTTGTGGTGGGGTGGTAGTGTTGGGGTGGGGGGGTGTGGGGGTGGGGTGTGGGTGGTGGTGGTGGTGTGTTGGGGTGGTGGTTGTGTTGGTGGGGGGTGTGGGGGTGGTGGTAGGTTGGTGTGGGGTGGGTGTGGGGGGTGGGTGGGGAGGGGGGGGTGGTGGTTGGGGGTGTAGGGTTGTAGTGTGGATGTGTGGTGATTAGTGTTGGTGGTGGTTAGTTTTTGTTGTGGTTAGTGTTTGTGTGGTAGTGTGGTGTTGCGGTGATGGTAGTGTTGCTGGTGGTAGTGTTGGTGTTGCGGTAGTAGTTGTGGTGGTTGGTGGTAGTTTGCTGGTGGTTGTTGTTGCTGGTGATGGTAGTGTTGTGGTGGTTGTATTTGGTGTTTGGTAGTGTTTGTATTAGGTGTGTTTGTTTGTTAGTGTGGTTGTTTTGTTGTGGTGTGGTAAGTATTTTGTTGGTGGATGGGTGTTTGTGTTGTGTGATTGGTAGATGTTGCTGGTGGTATGTTTGGTGTTGTGGTATTGATTGTGGTGGTGGTGGTATTGTGGTGGTGGTGGTGTGTGAGTGATGGTATTTTGCTGGGGTAGTGTTTGGTGTTAGTCTGGTGTGGTAGTGTTGTGGTGGTAGTGGTTGTGTTGTGGTAGTTTTGTATTTGGTGGTGGTGTTTTGGGTGGTGAGTGTTTTGTGTTTTGGGTGTTGTGGTGTTATATTATTGGTTTGTTGTTGAATGGTAGTGTTTTGGTGGTTAGTGTTGGTGTTGCTGGTAGTGTTGTGTGGAGGTGGTAGTTTGCTGGTGGTGGTAGTGTTTGTTGGATGGTAGTGTTGTGTGGATATAGTTTTAGTTTTTTATGGTGTGGTAGTGTGTGGTGGTTTAGTTGGTGTTGCTGGTAGTGTTGTGGTGGTGGTGTTTTGTTGGTGGTGGTAGTGTTTGTGGTGATGGTAGTGTTGTGTGTATGTTGTGTTTCTGGTGATGGTAGTGTTGTGGTGGTAGTGTTGGTGTTGTGGTTAGTGTTGTGGTTGTTATTTGTGTTTGTGGTGGTGGTTAGTGTTGGGGGTTTTGTGGTGTGGTAGTGTTGCTGGTGTAAGTTTGGTAGTTGTGGTTAGTGTTGCTGGTGGTTGGTTTAGTGTTGTGGTGATGGTTAGTGTTGTGGTGGTAATTGTTGTTTTGCTGGTAGTGTTGTGGTAGGTGGTGTAGTGTTGGTGTTATGTAGTGTTGGTGGTGGTGTGTGTTGGTATTTGTTAGTGTTGGTGGTTGGTGGTAGTGTTGGTGTTGACTGAGTAGTGTTGGTGTGGTGGTAGTGTTGGTTTGCTGTAGTGTTGCTGGTGGTTAGTAGTTGGTGTTGCTGGTGGTTAGTGTTGGTGTTGCTGGTAGTATGTTTGGTGGTATTGTATTGTTGTTGTGGTAGTGTTGTGGTTGGTTAGTGTTGGTGTGCTGGTAGTGTTGCTGTGGTAGTTTTGGTGTTGTTGGTAGTGTTGTGGTGGTGGTAGTGTTGGTGTTGCTGTAGTGTTGGTTGGTGGAGTGGTTAGTGTTGGTGTTTGTTGGTATGTTTGTGGTGGTAGTGTTGGTGTTTGTATTAGTGTTTGGTGTAGTGTTGGTGTTGCTGGTAGTGTTGTGGTGGTAGTGTTTATGTGTGGTAGTGTTCTGGTGGTGGTAGTGTTAGTGTGTGGTTAGTGTTGTGGTGTAATTTTGTGTTATGTTAGTGTTGGGGGTTGTTGGTGGTAGTGTTGGTGTTTTGTGTTATGGTAGTGTTTGGTGGTTTAGTTTTGGTGTTGCTGGTAGTGTTGGTGGTTGGTAGTGTTGTGGTGATGGTAGTGTTGTGGTGGTATGTTGGTTGTGATGGTAGTGTTGTTGATGGTAGTGTTTGTGTGTAGTAGTTGTGGTGTGGTTATGTTGTGGTGTGGTAGTGTTGTGGTGTGTGCTAGTGATGGTAGTGGTTGCTTAGAGTGTTTGTGTTGTAGGTAGTGTTGTGGTGGTAGTAGGTGTTGTGGTGATGGTATGTTGTTGTGGTAGTGTTGGTGGTTTGTTGTATTGTATGTGGTGGTGGTTGGTGATTGGTGTGATGGTAGTGTTTGTTGGTAGTGTTGGTGGTGGTGGTTAGTGTTTGGTGTTGTAGTAGTTTGTGGTGGTAGTGTATTTGGTGTTGTGGTAGTTTTGGTGGTAGGTGGTAGTTGTGGTGGAAATTATTGGTGTGTGTATGATTTAATATTTGTGGAGTAGTGTTTGGGTGGTAGTGTTGGTGTGATGGTAGTGTTGCTGGTGGTGGTAGTGTGTTGTGGTGGTGGTAGTGTTGCTGGTGATGATAGTTTGGTGTGATGTTAGTGTTTGTTGGTGTGGTGTTGTTGCTGGTGGTTTAGTGTTGGTGGTGTTAGTGTTGCTGGTGGTGTGTTATTTGTAGTGTTGTGTGTTTGCTGGTAGTGTTATTCTTGTGGTTGGTGGTGTTGGTGGTGGAGGTGGTATGTTTGCTGGTGATGGTAGTGTTGGTGTTGTGGTAGTGTTGTGGTGGTGGTGGTATTTGGTGGATGTTTGTGGTGTAGGGTATTGTTGCTGGTGGTGGTGGATGTTGCTGGTAGTGTTTGGTGGTAGTTAGGTAGTGTATTGTTGGTGTGTGTGTATGTGTGGTGGTGGTGTTGTGGTGATGTTAGTTTGGTGTTGCTGGTAGTGTTGCTGGTGGTGGTGGTTGTTGTTGGTGGTGTTTTGTGTGGTGTTGAGTGTTGTTGTATAGTTGGTGGTGTGGGTTAGTGATTGTGGTGGTGGTTGGTGTTGGTGGTGGTGGTGGATGTTGTGGTGATGGTAGTGTTGTGTTGTGGTAGTGTGTGGTGTGGTAGGTGTTGTTGGTGTGTGTTGTGGTGGTTGGTTATTGTTGGTGGTGGTAGTGTTTGTGGGTAGTGTTGTGTGGTTTGGTAGTGTTGTGTGGTGGTGTGTGTTGGTGGTGGTGTTGTAGTTGCTGTGATGGAGGTTGGTGTTGTGGTAGTGTTGTGGTTGGTGGTGTGTTGTGAGTGTAGTTTCTGGTGGTGGTGTGGTAGTTAGTTTGTGGTTGGTGGTAGTATTGCTGGTATGTTGGTTGTGTTGTGGTAGGTTGGTGGTTTGCTGGTGGTGAGTGGTAAGTGTGTGGTGGTGGAGTGTTTGGTGGTGGTGTTGGTATGATTTGTGTTAGCTGGTGGTGGTAGTGTGGTGGTTCTGTGGATGGTGTGGTGTGTTGCTGGTAGTGTTGCTGGTGGTAATGTTGGTGATGACAGCTCAGTTACGTAGGAAAGACTAAATCAGTTGATATTCACATCATTGCAGAATTTCAAGGCATTAATTAGGACTCCCATTAATTAGGACTCATTAATTAGGACTCATTAATTAGGACTCCCATAGGCAACGACCTGAGGCAGAGCGGCGTCTCTTAGCCTGGAAATTCAACAATTTCCACCGACCCACCAGGCCTATGAAGATGTAAAAGTGGTAGACTCACCAGGCCTATAAAGATGCAGAAGAGCTGGACTACGTCAGTATAGGCGACAGAATAGAGGCCTCCGAAGAGAGTGTAAACAACAGCAATGGCTGCCGACACTATGATGGAGACTGTGTTACCCAGGCCCAGGATGACTGTCAGTGTTGACCCTGTGGGTGGCAGAGGTCAACGAGGTTAATAACCCTGAGGGCAGCGGTTAACGAGGTTAGTGGCCCTGGGAGGAGAGGTTAATAGTGGCCCTGGGAGGAGAGGTTAACTCTCCTGAAGACGACTGATATTGAAGCATTATTTAGAATACGCAGGATATTGAAGGATTCCTGATATTTATCAAGGATACCCCAGGATGCAAACGATCACTGGTCATCGAGGATACCCAGAATGCATGGTATCACCGCTACTACCCAAGGATGCCCAGAATATTTAAGGATTTAAGGATTACTGTAGCACTCACCGAGAGCTGCCAAGATGGACGCTGACCACAAAGTCTCCCCGGCCAGGGCTGGCAGGTAAAGCATAGCGCCCCACCTCGCACCGTAGCGCTCTTGTAGCGGGTCCAGCATTGTCACGTAGCGAGCCTCCCGCATCTTCTTAGCGAAGAATAGTCCTCCTGAGGGAAGAACACTGTAGGTGTGCACTCCGAAGAACATGCATGAGGGAGCTGTAAATCTGTACACAAAGACCATCCTCCTACAGGAAGAACAATGTCCAAAGAACATCACATAACACACTATGAAGACCAGTACAAATAACTGTACACAATATGGAGAACATTCTGGTACAAGCCACAGTGAGGTTCGTGGGAAAACAAACAAAAAACAATGTTGACGGAAATTAATATTCCGCAAGACACAAATTGCACAATTCCGTCTCTCAGATCTGTGCTCCAGTTCCCCGAATTAAGCCTGAATGCCTTCCACATCCCCCCCCAGGCGCTGTATAATCCTCCGGGTTTAGCGCTTCCCCTTGATTATAATAATATTAATCCGTCTCTCAGAGTAGCCCTCAAAGGCGTCCTCGCCTCGTTCAACACAGGGAATAACATGATACTCGGTTCCCAAATTTTTATTTCTAAATTTTGGCTTCTGGTTTCTGCTCGCTGGGAAGGACTCTGCCCACTTAGAGGAATAGGAATAGGACCTGCAAATCGACCTATTCACTGGAGGATAGGAAGTCCCAATGGATGCAGAGTTTGGAGTAAGAAACGTACCTATTCAAGGGTCTTCAAGAAGGATAGGTGGTTCCCCTGGATGCATTGTGTTTGGAACTTCAAATTTACCTATTCCTGGGTCTTTAGAAAGGGCAAATTGCCCATTGAAAGTGCACTGACTAGCCAATTCATGGGACTAGACTCGAGACTATTATCATTTTCATGGGACAAGCGCCATGGAAATGGGAGTCAGTGAGGTACACCCCCATAAAGAAGGGGAATGTAAACCGATTACCTGGATTCCTACCCCCTTAGTTATACCCCGCAAGGGGATATCCATCACAAAAAAAAATCAGTACGCCATCAACTCAGATTCACTCGTAAATGCCGTGAAATTCAACAGGTAAACGGATTACATCCCGTTAACGGGAGTTCTGTTGACGGCACCAGCTTCAACAGGACACAAAATCTGGTTGACATGGGCCTGCACTCAATTTTTCACTCTTCAACTCCCTGCAGTTGCACACGCAACATGGGCAACACCAGCGACAACATGTGTTGTCTAATGACACGGGTGTTGATGGGGGTAGATGTTGGTAGGTAGAATCTACTCAGATAGCAGATCACTCGACCCAGGTGTTGAAGCGATCTACCGGCTGAAATGACAGAGTATTATCCTCGATAGATGCGAAGATAATATACTCGGTACATAAGAATAACGTACTCAGCAGATGCGAGGATAATGTACTCAGTAGATGAGCGAATAACGTACTCAGTAGACGAGGGAATAAGTGTACTCAGTCCCCAGGAACAATTCACAAAGTAATTATGCCAAATGCTGTCATTTATTTCTTACAAAAGAATGATTTGTATGCAAATTAGCATTTTGATGTAATTCCACGCCGTACTGTATGATTATCCTTTCGTATGTTAATTCGGCACCACGTATGGACAAAGAGGATAGGTTGATGCAGCTACTGGCATGGGCAGGGGGCCCTATAGTCGGTTTAATATATATTTTTTTACGATTTTGGATTTTGTTGGATAAGCTGAGAAAGCCTCTTCTGCTCGGCTCAGAATTTTTAAACTGGTTTTTATTCAATAACTTGAGAATGCTTCACCTGATCGGACTGAAACTTTCGCCAGTGGTGTATGCTAAGAATATTTTGAAAACTGGATTGATTTTTATGCGATAATTTGTGAATGCTTCATTCGATCGACTTCAAACCTTAAATGCTGATGTTTCCTACTTAGAAGAACCTTTGGACTGAAGTCCACAACGCCCCCGCGGCCCGGTCTGTGACCAGACCTCATGGGGGATCAGGGCCTGATCAACCAGGCTTTTAATGTTGGCCGCACGCAACCCGACGTACGAACCACAGCCTGGCTGGTCAGGTACTGACTTCAGGTGCCTGTCTAGCACCTTCTTTAAGACAGTCATGGGTCTATTTATATTGCTGGGAGGCAACTGAACAGTCTTGGGCCCCTGACACTTAGTGTTTTATCGTGCTAGTGGCTCCCCTGCTTTTCATTGGGGGATGTTACATCGTCTGCTTAGGTAAGGTTTGTCAGGAAACAGGACAAGTGTTTCCTGACGCGGGTCATATGATCCAGCTGGAGCTTTTGGTCATCTGACCGAGGCCTTCCACTGGCTTACCACTCCAACACTTTAAAAATTATGGTTATGATTATATTAATTTTTTATTACAAGAGGCAAGAACATGCAGAATTAGACAGGAAGGGGATGATAAAGGAAAGAACCAGCGTCACTGGAACAGAATGCTCGTGCAGTATTTATGGAACATTGTTGTAAGAATGACCTGGTTGGAAGATTATCCATCTTAGTGTCCTCTCCTCCAGGAAAGATTTCTTAAATAACAAAAAGGTACAATACCGTGACTGGAACGATACACAAATAACCCGCACATACACAATACACAAATAACCCGCACATACACAATACACAAAAACCCGCACAACAAATAACCCCACATCAAAAATAACCCCACATACACAAAAAACAAATAACCCCACAAACAAAAAACCCCAAAAAACCCGCACATACACAATACACAAAAAACCCCACAACACAATACAAAAATAACCCGCACATACACAATACACAAATAACCCACACATAAAAGAGAGAAGCTTACGACGACGTTTCGGTCCGACTTGGACCATTGACAGTCACACTGTGTAAAGATTTCTTCCCTAGTCTACTCTCGAGGAGTCCGAAAGGCCCCTTCCGTCCTATTGTGTGAAGAAAGGGGTCAGGGCCGGGGATTTTCCCAGGGGGTTTTATACCATCTCAGAACTGCACAGAGGTAATAATGTCACAGTACTCACCAAGGGTAAGACTGATAGCGTAGCCGAAGGGTGCCTGGCACCAGATAAGACCACTGCTGAAGATAGCCTCTGCAGTGCCATTGATGTAGCCTCCTCCTACCCAAGTTGCTGCAACAAAAAAAAACATGTTACCACGTAGCTTGCAAAAAGATTAAGGTCACTAAGAGGGTATAAAAAACTTCCTTTAAGATAATGTTCCGTTTTGGGTTTTAGCCTCTCCCTTTCCTTTTCAAAATCCTTCTGGGGGATTTCGAAAAACAAAACCTAACATTCTAACCAAATAAATATTCTTTTTGGGGGTAAACGTTAAATTACCACCCATAACAACCAATAAGCTTCTGGTCTGTATAAAGGAACTTAAAATCCAATAATCCGACAAGTGGCGCGCAGCTAGCAAATATCAAACATTTTTCCCAAGGGTGTAACGCAAGTCCATAAGGGGCAATTGCCCCCAATACAAGAGAGGGAAAATTGGGCCGTCCCTTCCCAGCAAGGGCATCAAAAAGCGGGAACTGCAATCATCGGGGGAAAAAAAAGGAAAGTTGGGAGAAGGGGGTCAATAAAAAAGACTGGATGGGGTAATTTCCTGTCAACTCTAAACCCTTTAAAAACGATATTTAACTCTTTCCATGGGGAAAGATGAAGAAGGGGAGGAGGAGGAGGGGAGGAGAAAAAGGAAGAGAAGCAGATATAGAAATCTGGTAGTAAAACATGACAGCAAGGGGTAGGTGACTAAAACCCGGGGACCTATTACTGTTAAGGACATACAGTAGATACAAGGGGAAAGACACCCAGCTACCTACTTTTCTACTAGATAAACAGGAAGGTTTTTCTCGCCCTGAATTAAACCCGCATTGCATTGTGACCCCAACCACACACAAACACCACCAAAACCGCGCGCGCGCCCAAAAAACACACCACACACACCCACACCAACACACACACACACACACACACACACAAAACCCAACACACACAAAACACACACAACACACAACAGCAACTGGGTCCTTAATTTTAAACCCCGCCCCAAAAGCAAAACGAAGTTTGGGGGAAGGCAAAGAAGACCGCAGACACAATATAGTTTTGATGGCCAAAGACTGCAAACCTCACTCAAGGAAAAAGACCTGGGGGTGAGTATAACACCGAGCATATCTCCTGAGGCGCACATCAATCAGATAACTGCTGCAGCATACGGGCGCCTGGCAAACCTACGGATAGCGTTCCGATACCTCAGTAAGGATTCGTTTAAGACTGTATACCATTTATGTCAGGCCCATACTGGAGTATGTAGCACCAGTTTGGAATCCACACCTAGTCAAGCACGTCAAGAAATTAGAGAAAGTGCAAAGGTTTGCAACAAGACTAGTCCCAGAGCTACGGGGATTGTCCTACGAAGAAAGGTTGAGGGAAATCGGCCTGACGACACTGGAGGACAGGAGGGTCAGGGGAGACATGATAACGACATATAAAATACTGCGCGGAATAGACAAGGTGGACAAAGACGGGATGTTCCAGAGATGGGACACAGACACAAGAGGGCACAATTGGAAGTTGAAGACTCAGATGAATCAAAGGGATGTTAGGAAGTATTTCTTCAGTCATAGAGTAGTCAGGCCATGGAATAGCCTAGAAAGTGACGTAGTGTAGGCGGGAACCATACATAGTTTTAAGGCTAGGTATGATAGAGCTCATGGGGCAGGGAGAGAGAGGACCTAGTAGCAATCAGCGAAGAGGCGGGGCCAGGAGCTGTGACTCGACCCCTTCAACCACAAATAGGTGAGTACAAATAGGTGAGTACACACACGTCAATACTGGCGCCTCAGGAGACAACACAGAGTAGACAAGAGAATCTATTTCTTGCACAATAGACCAATATTGCCAAGTGTTTGTTGTCAGAGATCTTGCCAGAAGACTCGTGATTAGCAATAAATTGGAAAGATGGTTGAGGGACCAAGACGGAGCTAACAAGCACACAGCCATGTGTGCACCATATCTGACACAGCCATGTGTGCACCATATCTGACACTCATGCAGCCAGGTGTGCACCATATCTGACACAGCCATGTGTGCACCATATCTGACACAGCCATGTGTGCACCATATCTGACACTCATGCAGCCAGGTGTGCACCATATCTGACACAGCCATGTGTGCACCATATCTGACACTCATGCAGCCAGGTGTGCACCATATCTGACACAGCCATGTGTGCACCATATCTGACACTCATGCAGCCAGGTGTGCACCATATCTGACACAGCCATGTGTGCACCATATCTGACACAGCCATGTGTGCACCAGATCTGACACAGCCATGTGTGCACCAAATCTGACACAGCCAGGTGTGCACCATATCTGACACAGCCATGTGTGCACCATATCTGACACAGCCATGTGTGCACCATATCTGACACAGCCATGTGTGCACCATATCTGACACAGCTATGTGTGCACCATATCTGACACAGCTATGTGTGCACCATATCTGACACAGCCCCGTGTGCACCATACCTGACACACAGCCATGTGTGCATCATACCTGACACTCATACAGCCATGTGTGCACCATACCTGACACACAGCCATGTGTGCACCATACCTGACACTCACACAGCCATGTGTGCACTATACCTGACACTCATACAGCCGTGTGCACCATACCCGACACTCATACAGCCATGTGTGCACCATACCTGACACACAGCCATGTGTGCACCATACCTGATACTCATACAGCCATGTGTGCACCATAAATGACACTCATACAGCCATGTGTGCACCATATCTGACACACAGCCATGTGTGCACCATACCTGACACTCATACAGCCATGTGTGCACTATTCCTGACACACACAGCCATGTGTGCACCATACCTGACACTCATACAGCCATGTGTGCACCATACCTGACACTCATACAGCCATGTGTGCACCATACCTGACACTCATACAGCCATGTGTGCACCATATCTGACACACAGCCATGTGTGCACCATACCTGACATACAGCCATGTGTGCACCATACCTGACACACAGCCATGTGTGCACCATACCTGACACTCATACAGCCATGTGTGCACCATACCTGACACACAGCCATGTGTGCACCATACCTGACACACAGCCATGTGTGCGCCATACCTGACACACAGTCATGTGTGCACCATACCTGACACAGCCATGTGTGCACCATACCTGACACTCACACAGCCATGTGTGCACCATACCTGACACTCACACAGCCATGTGTGCACCATACCTGACACTCACACAGCCATGTGTGCACCATACCTGACACACAGCCATGTGTGCGCCATACCTGACACACAGCCATGTGTGCACCATACCTGACACACAGCCATGTGTGCACCATACCTGACACTCACACACCCATGTGTGCACCATACCTGACACACAGCCATGTGTGCACAATACCTGATACACAGCCATGTGTACACCATACCTGACACACAGCCATGTGTGCACCATACCTGACACACAGCCATGTGTGCACCATACCTGACACTCATACAGCCATGTGTGCACCATACCCGACACTCATACAGCCATGTGTGCACCATACCCGACACTCATACAGCCATGTGTGCACCATACCTGACACTCACACAGCCATGTGTGCACCATACCTGACACTCACACAGCCATGTGTGCACCATACCTGACACTCACACAGGCATGTGTGCACCATACCTGACACAGCCATGTGTGCACCATACCTGACACACAGACATGTGTGCACCATACCTGACACAGCCATGTGTGCACCATACCTGACACACAGACATGTGTGCACCATACCTGACACTCACACAGCCATGTGTGCACCATACCTGACACTCACACAGCCATGTGTGCACCATACCTGACACTCACACAGCCATGTGTGCACCATACCTGACACTCACACAGCCATGTGTGCACCATACCTGACACTCACACAGCCATGTGTGCACCATACCTGACACTCACACAGCCATGTGTGCACCATACCTGACACTCACACAGCCATGTGTGCACCATACCTGACACTCACACAGCCATGTGTGCGCCACATCTAACACACAAGCAAAACAGAGTAAGGATTGTGGACGCTGACGGTAGTGAAAGAGGGACGTAAAAATCCATCAGTGTTTTCTCCACTCACACAAAACACAATCACCAGACGACTCCATAAAAGGTATAACCTGTGGGATTCACCTGTTACGCACCTATTGACTCGGCTGTTCAAAATTTATTGAAAGACAAGAGGAGGCAACGAGATGCCTGAAGAGTTCCACTGCCAGAGTCAGATCAGTACAGATCACTGCCACAGTCTCATCACTCCCAGTCACATCATTACAGATTACTGCCATAGTCTGATCACTGCCACAGTCCGATCACTGCCACTGTCAGATCAATACAGATCACTGCCACTGTCAGATCAGTACAGATTACTGTTACTGTCAGATCAATACAGATCACTCCTACTGCCAGATCAATACGGATCACTGCCACTGTCAGATCAATGCAGATCACTGCCACTGTCACATCAGTGCAGATCATTGTCACAGTCTGATCACTGTCGCAATGCGGATCACTGTCAGTCACTTCAATACAGATCACTGCCAGTCAGATCAGCACAGTATGATCACTGCCACAGTCATATCAATACAGACAACTGCCAGTCAGATCAGCCCAGTCTGATCACTGCCACAGTCAGTTCAGCACAGTCTACTCCTGCTTGGAAGAACGGAGGTTCGAGCCTCCAGCGTCTCACGATTTCAATTCTTCAACTCTGGAAGAGAGAGTTCTAAGCCCGCAGGGGAATATACACAACCCTGGATAATGATACAACCAGCTCGTCCGCAGGAGGCGTCATCAGTCCAATAGAAGAGTGGAAGAATAGGAAATTTGAGGTAATCAATCCCTCAGCCTGGAGTCGGTGTGTTCAGTTCATCGTTGTATTGGACTGAGATGTGAAGATGTCATCAGTCCATCATCCTTGGAGACGTAGTGTTGAGGTGGTCAGTCCCTCAGCCTGGAGAAGAGTTCTTATCCATATTAGTGAACTGGTTATGTAAGAAGATAAGGGTGAACAATAAAATGGTATAAAATACCGACAGGTTGTTTAGGTAAGACACATATGCAACAGTTAGGTATCTTTATTTCGAAACGTTTCGCCTACACAGTAGGCTTCTTCAGTCGAGTACAGCAAAGTTGATAGAAGCAGAGGAGACTTGAAGTGACCTACGTCTCACCTCCTGGCGCTATATAAGGCTCCATCTTGTCACTTCAACTCCATATTATTCCAGACTATGGAACAATACTCTTCTCCAGACTGAGGGACTGACCACCTCAAAACTTTAAGGGTGATGGACTGATTACATCGTCTTCAAGTCTCTTCTGCTTCTATCAACTTTTCTGTACTCGACTGAAGAAGCCTACTGTGTAGGCGAAACGTTTCGAAATAAAGATACCTAACTGTTGCATATGTCTTACCTAAACATAAGGAGATAAAACTGGAGTAGCACTGCAGAAGGCCTACTGGTCCATACAAGGCACGTCCTTCTCTAAAGCACCTTTCCCACCCACCTTTGTGTACAACTTTTTCTCAAGGTTACCCAAGAATTGGCTGCAGTTCCTCAGGTACTAACCTACTGCTTCCACTGCCTCTGTTTCATCTGTGTGGGCGAAACGTTTTGGAATGAAGTTACCTGACTGTTGTAGATGAATGGTTCAGAGAACCGACATGTTGTTGAATTAGACACATGTGCAACTCTTGGGTATGTTTATTGAGGAAACGTTTCGCCACACAGTGGCTTCATCAGTCCATACAAAGGAGAAACTTGAAGAAAAGTTTCTCCTTTGATAAATTAGACACATGTGCAACTCTTGGGTATCTGCACATGTGTCTAATTTATCAACATGTCGGTTCTCTGAACCATTCGTCTACAAAGTTTCTCCTTTGTATGGACTGATGAAGCCACTGTGTGGAGAAACGTTTCCTCAATAAACATACCCAAGAGTTGCACATGTGTCTAATTCAAATTACCTGACTGTTGCAGATGTGACTTGTTAGGTTGTCGGTATTGTTCACGTAGAGAGGCGACCTGGAACTACTGAGGAAGGTGACCTGGAACTACTGAGGAAGGTGACCTGGAACTACTCAGGAAGGTGACCTGAAACTACTTAGGAAGGTGAACTGGAACTACTTAGGAAAGTGGCCTGGAACTACTCAAGATGACCTGGAATTACTCAGGAAGGTGACCTGAAACTACTCAGGAAGGTGACCTGGAACTACTCAGGAAGGTGACCTGGAATTAATCAGGAAGGTGACCTGGAAGTACTCACCCGTCATAGTCAGGATGCCAACCAAGCTGCCAATGTCCCTGCCAGCCAGCATCACCTCATCTGTGGTCTTGACGCCTCTCCTTCGCCACGCTGACCACAGACCGATGCCCAGAATAACCAGATAGAAGATTATGATTGATACCAGACCAACCACGTTCACTCCTTCCGTCCTTCTGTACAAATACACATCATAAGAACATAAGAAAGTAGGAACACTGCAGAAGGCCTACTGGCCCATACGAGGCAGGTCCTCATCAAAACGACAACTACCTAGAGCTACTCAAGAAACAACTCCAGCACCCCCCAACACCAATCAAACCCAGCCCCTCCCATCGTATTGTACTAATCAAATTAGATTAGAAGTAGTAGTTGTAGTACTGATATGTTATTTTACTGATCAAATTAGATTAGTAGTAGTACAGTGAGTACAACTCTGAGTATGCCTGGGTCCATTTCCATGTGTACAGATAAGTGAGTACATGTACTTACCTTCCATCGGCAAAGTTAGTGGAGTTGACGGCACTTTCCAGACTCTCCATGATCACAACTCTGTAGGAACAACAACATTACACTCTGATCACAACATTACATTGCATAAACAACAACCTTACATTGCAGGAACAAAAAGGTAAACATTGTGGGAACGAAATTCGTAACCTGAGGTTTCCGTGTGTAAGGCTGGTGAGTCCCGTTTTTACTCGTGAGTGAATGAACTCTCCAGCACCAGAGAGATGAAAGTTAAGACACATGTGCAACATCTGGGTATCTTTATTGTAGTAGACGTTTCGCCATCCAGTGGCTTTATCAATACAGATTCTAGGACATAATAGGAAGACAGTAGAACTATATACAAAAGATGAGGTAATCAGTCCCTCGGCCTTGGAGTTAGTGTTCACAGCATCGTGGTGGAGGAGAGTCTGGAGAGTCTGACTGATTACCTCATCTTTTGTATATAGTTCTACTGTCTTCCTATTATGTCCTAGAATCTGTATTGATAAAGCCACTGGATGGCGAAACGTCTACTACAATAAAGATATCCAGATGTTGCACATGTGTCTTAACTTTCATATTGTCGGTATTTTATACCTTTCTTTGCACAGCACCAGAGAGATGATGAATTAGACACATGTGCAACTCTTGGGTATCTTTATTAAGGAAACGTTTCGCCACACAGTGGCTTCATCAGTCCATACACAGGAGAAGCATGTATGGACTGTATGTAATAAAGTTGGTAGAATTACCGACAATATGTAAAGTAAAAGGACACAAGTGCAACTAATGTGACATTTTATTGTGGCAACGTTTCGCTCTCCAGGAGCTTTATCAAGCCATTACAAACAATACATGGAAATACAAACTCATATGCAGTATAATGTGATCCTTTATTGACTACGTTTCGCCCACACAGTGGGCTTTTTCAAGTCATAAACAGATCTGTTTGTGACTTGAAAAAGCCCACTGTGTGGGCGAAACGTAGTCAATAAAGGATCACATTATACTGCATGTGTTGATATTTCCATTGTGTCGGTATTTTATACCATTTATTTCCACAAACAATACATGGACATAAATTAGACACATGTGCAACTCTTGGGTATCTTTATTGAGGAAACGTTTCGCCACACAGTGGCTTCATCAGTCCATACAAAGGTGAATCTTGAAGAACAGGAGGAGAATGAGGTAATCAGTCCCTCAACCTTGAGTCGATGTGGTCAGTCCATCAATCTTGAATAGAATACGGCATACGTGCTGAGAAGGAGCTTATAAACCTATGACTTCTGCACCTCTCCTGCCAACGGTTTATAAGCTCCTTCTCAGCACGTATGCCGTATTCTATTCAAGATTAATGGACTGACCACATCGACTCAAGGTTGAGGGACTGATTACCTCATTCTCCTCCTGTTCTTCAAGATTCTCCTTTGTATGGACTGATGAAGCCACTGTGTGGCGAAACGTTTCCTCGATAAAGATACCCAAGAGTTGCACATGTGTCTAATTTATCAACATGAAGGTTCTCTGAACCATTCATCTACAAACCTGTCAGACACTGCAACTTCTTGGGATCTTAATACTTGGGAATTCTTCGCTTGCCTAATTCTTGGGCACGACCTACTTCAACATTGAACAAATGTTACACGACCTATGACTTCTGCACCTCTCCTGCCAACGGTTTATAAGCTCCTTCTCAGCACGTATGCCGTATTCTATTCAAGATTGATGGACTGACCACATCGACTCAAGGTTAAGGGACTGATTACCTCATTCTCCTTCTGTTCTTCAAGATTCTCCTTTGTATGGACTGAACATTAAAATGGTATAAAATACCGACAGATTGTTAGGTAAGACACATATGCAACAGTTAGGTATCTTTATTATGAAACGTTTCGCCTACACAGTAGGCTTCTTCAGTCGAGTACAGAAAAGTTGATAGAAGCAGAAGATACTTTAAGACGATGTAATCAGTCCATCACCCCTTAAAGTTTTGAGGTGGTCAGTCCCTCAG